CCGCGTACCACATAAAATCGGTTCGAGGTCAGTAAGCACAACCAGAATTCATACATAAGGCACACCGGATTATAAGGTGCGCTGTCGATTTTTGCGAAAAATAAAGGATTTTAAGTGCGCCTTATAGTGTGAAAAATACGGTAGATATTTGCGTTAAGGAGCAGTTGACCTGTAGCAGTTGAGTGTACTTTTGTGTACATTTGTGGCCACTGTTTAGTAAAAAAAATCTAGTTTTATATCTCTGTTTCTGCTTTCTGTGTCTTTCAGGCCACATTCCTGTCTTGTGAGCCAGTTGGCAGGTGGGAAGTTGCTGATGACATCACAGGAATAACAGTCTCCGTCTGCTGATTGGACCAGAAACATGAACTTTTTTTTTTTTTTTGCACAGCCCCAACATTTGTAGTTGAAAATGAGGACAGTGTAAACAGACTCAAGCAGCCAGCGAGTCACGGGGGGGAAAAGGAGAAAAAAAAAAAGAAAAACCAAGATTTATTTTGATAACAAAAAAATACAAAATGCTGTTCTTGTTTTCCTCTTTTTCAAGGATTCTCAAACACTTGCCAGATGACCCCGTACCTCCCTCCATCCCCACCTGTGCCCATTCACCCTCACCTTCCCCATTCAAGTACGATGTGGTAATAAATGCATGAGATGGAGATATCACTCCCTCCCTCCTTATCCCATCAAGGTTTCTATGATTTGATAGTTCCTTTATTCGTGGTATATGGACAAAAACCTTGCAGACCTTGTTTGCACTGAATTTTGAAGTTTTAAAATAACTTCACTTTGGTTTTCGACTTTGCCACAGCTCAGAAAACTGCACTCGACAGTTGATACGAGTGACCATTTCATTAGGAATTTACTATTGGAAAAGGTGCCTTCCTTACGTGATATCGAACATTCTCCAACCTTGTTTCATCAAAACTTGATCAGGTGTCACATTTCTTATCGGACTGAGCAAAATGGTGTGTGTGTAATCACGAGGCTTTCCATTGAGCGTTGCGCTATCTAGTCGTCTGGTAGCAATAAAGAAAATGAGAGTCCCGCGGCAATACTGAGAAGTGAGAACGGTGACAAACTCAGAGCAAGGGAAATCCTTATATTCTTCTTTCCTTTTTTTTACAAAAATAAATAAATAAATAAACAAAACGACAACAAATTCATGACATGATTTGAAACGAGAGCTGTACTTTTATGAAATTGCATGTATCTCACCCAGGCGGCATCGTTTTTGGGAGGGTTTTTGTTTCTCTTGTGGTCACTTTGACCCGTAATCTACCTCATGGTTCTGCTAGCGTCCGCTGGGGTGGTGGGGTTTGCAGGTAAAGCCCCTTTTCACCAGGGTGGACAAAAGGGGAACAGAAGCCACGCTCAGGAGCTGGCTAAACAGGACTTCTAACATTTTTCTCCCACATGCAGCATTACGCTTTCTGATCTTCAAAAAGGCAACATTGTGCTTTATTTTTTATTTTCCATCCGTATTTGTCATTGCTTCTGTTCCGGGTTTTCTTTTTCTAGACATTACGAGTGCTTTTCAGGTGCGATACTCCCCCTTTTCGAAAGCAAGACAAATGCCGGCTTCTCTGTAAAGTAGATGACTTAGTGTGTGCTTGAAACATATGAAATGCAGGCAACATGAATTTGCTGCATTCTTCTGACTCTGACTTCTATTTTCCCTCTTCAAAATTAATATTACGATTTTGGTTACTCTCCATTTAACAATGTAGATCTCAAACTATTTGGATGAGTGGGGAAAAAACCCAAATCTTGCCTTGCCTTGTGCAAAACAAAATATATGCAACAATCATGGATGGAATACTTAAAAATAAAATAAAAACTGTGGTATTTCATTAATATTAGATGGATGGTGAAATCACACGGCTGATGGCCTGTGTTTCTTAAGAATGCGATGTGTAAATTATACGTTCAGGGCCAAAAGTGAACAGTTTTATTGTGTTCTTAGCTTTTCTTCTTGACATTTACGATGTATTACTTCTACACCACTCTGAGACAAGAGAAATGGTAAAAGATGTATGGTCACCGTTCATCTGCCCACAATCAATAGTAAGCATTAAATGCTCAACGTAGAAAAATACAGCCAGGCCTTACCTGAGTGTACTTTCCCTTACTGAACATTTGTTGCTGGAAAAAAAATGTAAAAATGAGGAAAAAAAAAGAGAAAAAAAATCATTGCTTTCACCTACCACCTTCTGCTGATTCTCAAGTTTCCCCTTGCTCTTTCCTTGGAACAAAACCAGTGCTGAATAAAATGCTCTTTTCTTTTTCAGACGTGACTCCGATCTCTTTAATTTAATTGACTGACAGACTTTATGCATTAGTTCATGTCTCTGTACTGTACTGTACTTTTGGGGCTAGCTCACTGGACTTTTTAGGTATGTTGCACTCACAAGGATTCCTTAATTGCCACATTTGAGTTACTCACGAGCACTGTGCTTGATAAGTATATAGATTATCATAATAAATATAAATTGGTACAATATAACGCCTTGGGACCAGAATCAGCCTGTGAAAAACTTGGATGGCTTTGGAAAAAAAAGATGGGGGGCATAAATTCTGGAGTTTCATCTGTATTTTTATAGGTTTTATAGCTTTTCTTGCTGATAAATAGCTTCCCCGCAGCCATCATACCACACAGCTAAATATAGTTAAGTAATAGATAAAGAATTAAATGACAGAAAAGTTCTTGTTCTTCATTTTCTACTATAGAAATTTAGCTTAAAGAAAAAAAGGAAACACTTTATCAATCAGCAAAAACTTTTACGTTTTATAAAAGTGAGCTACCAGAACCATTTCCTCTAGTTTTACACATTTATCATGTAGAAAAACTGAGACGTGCTGTTGAGATTGCACTTCTTCTTCCTACATAAAGATATCTCAGAGATTAAATGTGTAGTTAAATGTCTTTAACTACGTTGTATGTGGCTCTTGATGTAAAATGAGTTTGACATCCCTGATGTAAACTGGACTCAAACCCTTGAGTGGAGGCTATACCAATTATCTGCCAGCAGAGGGTGCTGAGAGCCAAAGCTGTCCAGCATATTTGAATCCAGAGATCATTTCTGAAGGACTGTAAGTCTGCTCTTATCTATGTAACTTATACTGGATCAAATTAGCAACAAGTGCGACATGTGTGCTCACACCCCAGCCCTTTCCTGCACTATTTCGGGCACACAGGCTTTGTAGTCTCACTCATGTGCCGGATCTCCCTTCTTAAGCTCTGACATAGCACAACTGATCCCAGGGACATAAAGGCACCATGCGCGCATCTCTTACCAGTTGAAGGGATCAAAAGCACTCGGGGTGCAAGATTAGCCATCATCCCCACATCTCTCCGACCCCCACACCAGGAATATACATACATACATGTAGTTCATGCACACTCTCATGTCAATCAAATACTTATTGTAAGGGAATCAGACCTTTGAACGTCACATACAAGACAAATCCCTCTCTCTCGTTCTCCACAGCTGAGAGGACACATGGCACTGATCCCTTGGGAAAGACCAAGGTCAGATTTGGGGCATAGACACAGAGAGGACTCCTACAGTACTTGTTTTCATGCATTTAGCGAAATAGGCATGTATCCGAAAAGTGAGATGTAATCAGGCTGAATAAGCCTGGTAAAGACTGTGTAGCAGATCATATATTTGTTATTATCTTTTTAAGTTTTATATTTTCTCTTGCTGATAAAGACCTTCCCCATTGCCATTCAAAAAAAAAGTAATTAAGTAATAGATAAATAGTAACAATAAAAACACAGGCGGCATTTTCTGTCAATTAGTCTGGCTAGTGAGCCACCAGAACTTTATATATAATTAATTCTATATAATTGTATACATTTATTTATTTGTGGTGACAAATTCCTTCATTTAATGCATTTACTTAACTGTTAAAACTGCACCACTTTTTCTCAAATGGGATGAAATGTGTAGTTAAATATCTTTACACTGAGAAAAACGAGTTTCACTGGTACAGCCCAGATAAGATCAACAGTGCAAAAAGATCAGTTTTAAAGTCGCATCAAAAACAAAAAGAAATCCATTCCAGGACGCAGAAGCTAGCTAACGGCGACTATTTGAGGGTAGAACAAAAATTATTATTATTATCTTTTAGTTATTAACAATAAAATTCTAATATATATACATAATTGTTAAGTTTATACGAGGTGCAGGCTCTGGATTATCATGTTGACTTCATCATTAGTTTCAGTTACTGATAAAAGCATTAAGAAAAACTGGCTCGACCATGACCAACTACAACAGTAAAATGATGCTTCATCATAAGTTATTTTAATAGAGAAACTATATTAATGTTGTTGTTGTTCAGTCTGAATACTTTCACTTTCACTGGTGAATGCAATTTCTGGCATAAATGTCGTATATATGTCATTTTATGATATCTAATGTTATGAATAAATGTTAGTGCTGCAAGCTCATGTTCTGCTTTTACATCACCGGGTAAAGATTTTTTTATGATGGATTGTTAAAAATCTGTCAATCAGCTTTTTGAGTTCTGCTGCTTTGCCTAAACATCAACTGAGCTCAATTTTTAAAATAGTTTATATTTAAAATATACTTCCACATCTGAGCCAAACTTTATTTTGTTTATAAATAGTTAAAATATTAATATTATAAAGAACTAATAATAGTCAGAGAAGTAATTATTGTCTTAAATAAATAATGCCTTTATTGTTTCACAGCTGAAACCAAACCTAAAGTAGAAAATTTGGACTTATGATGAATTGCGGTTTTCCAAATGTAGTCAACACCATTTTTCAGAAGTATCACAAACGTCAAATGCTATTATGAACAAAGCAATGAAGGGAACATTTGTTATCATTTCTCATTCCTAGTTCCTGTTATGCAAGTCATGTTTTTACATTTCCCCATGCTCACAATAGTCACAATACTTAGCCATTAAAAGTATAGCCAGAAGCACCTTCTGACAGGTTTGCATATATACATATATGTATACATATACATATGTATGTTTTTACTACTTTCTACATTGTAGATACTTACTGAAGACATCACATACTGTATATGAAGCAAGATATATGGAATTATATAGCAAACAAAAAACTTTCATATTTTATATTCCCTTTGTTTTGTTGACAGTGATGCAAACCTTTGGCCTTCATAGTGGGGTTGGGACCATCAGTTGTGTTGT